CCAGCACATTTTTTCTCTTCCCACCCAGTGCCTCGGGCGCCTCTCACAGGATGTGAGCGTCAAGCAGAGATCATCCGTTGTCGGCGGGCAAAGGCGGACCGAGATGGGCTGCCAAGGTGCAAGTAGTATCCATCGTTTTCGCTGGTGCCACTACTACCCAGGCCGTAGGATTCGCACTAGTGTCCAAATCAGCAGTTTGGGATGGAGATCGCGAGAGACTTTCGTGAGCTTTTTTATCTGATTGATCTCATCTGATTAGATCCCACTTAATAGCCCGGCCCATGTAAGGGACCATCCCTGACGAGCCTGTTAAGCTTAGGTTCTAGCCCGAGATCGCGTGGCAGGATTTGCATGGGAGAGGGAGGTTCTTTACCCGACACTTGTCGGTCGGAGCAAAGCCGCCTGGCCGTGCAGTCCAAGGGACCGCCAGAACACCCGCCTCGGACGCAGTTCGGTGTCGGACGAGCGGTTGAGGCGTCGGCTGTTCGTGGGGGTGGAGTGGAGCGCACTGCACACATCGAATCCCCGGCTCCATCCACAGTCGTAAATTTGCGAAAGGGGGGATAAAAGAGGTAACATGAGCTCGATCACCTCCCTTTCTCTCTCCCTCGCTGTAGGTGGCTCTCGGCCGGTGATGAACAGCAGAAGACGACTGGCCGTAGCTGGGTGCGGTGCGAACGCCGACTTCGAGGCTAGGCCAGGGTCGCTGCAGCAGCCATGGTGTCGGGCCGTGAGCTTGGCACCATGTGCCTAAGAAGATGTTTTTTTCCTCCTCTGCCGCGCCATATCTTGCCGTTCACCGGGGTTGGTTAAGTTGCGATGCAAGGGTCTGGTGTGCTCCCGCAAATGCTCCCCCCGCCGACAGGGTTCACGTGCATGTGTCTCTTTAGGAGGTAAATCAGAGGCAGGGCCTAATCGAGCGAGAGCTGCAGTGTGCTGATCCAGTAAGAGAGAATATACATGCAGTCTAGAAGCGGCACGAACACTACGTATTGGGCGGATAGTACACCCAGTAGGGTCGAGGTGCTTACAACTTGGAGCGTCTCCTAGGATGCAAGCAGCGACGGCTAGAGAACACCCAGGCCCTTGTACACAGGGATGCGTATCTAATCACAAGAATGGGCAGAGCTTGGCGGTCCACTTGGCTGCATACCAAAGCACAAGAGTCGGGACTGAGAGGGCAGGTATAGCCTCGTCGAGGTTCGGCCCAAGTTATTGGATCCAAAGCCCAGGCTCTGGCCTAGGGACCTGGTGACCGCCCCAGCAGGCCCCTGATACCTCGCATCCGAATTTGCAGCTGTTCCGAGTGCGGTGCCATCGGGTGCCCATTGTGACAAGAGTCAAGGATCATCGGGTCGGGTCATTGCACTTCCATGTAACGTAGCTCGGTCGTTCGTCAGGGTCCTGCGCAAAGGCGAGGCCGAGATGGGACTCGGCTTGTAGTAAGAATGATCAGCCCTAGATCAAATCGCCCATCACAAATACGAAGACAAAAAAAGCGGGAAGAACCTAGGTAGATAGATGTCAAAGCGGACAGAATTTTTGTTTCCTTCATTGAGCAAGAAAAAGACATTACCGCAAACGCCGTAAAGCAGCGTCGGAGTGTTTTAAGACCTAAGCTACACACAATCAGCCAAGAGACCGCTTCGATTTACGAGCCCGGAAACCTAGAGCGGCCGCGCACAGAACAACCGCCACATGCGCATCTGAGCTGGGCTGGAAGAGATCCTGTACGTCGAGTCGAGTCGATGTAAGAGTCCTGTTAAATAGTAAGGTAGCGGGAGCCAGTCGGGACGGGGCGCGATCGAAGGCTGATACCAGAACATCCGATACCACGGGCCACAAGATAGAACACAAAAACAAATTTCCTCCCAACGTCCGGTTCCGAAAGGCGGCTGTTTATTCCCTTGGGCGTTCGAAAGTGGTCGTCGTCATCGAGAGATAGACCGGGGAAGAGCACTAGAACACTAACTTGCAAGTCAGAAAACCAATGCGGACCGTCTCTGTTTCGAACTGCCTACCTGATGAGTCCTAAAGCCGCATTTTGAAGTGGCGAACATTAGCTTCTAGATCGCTCTGGTGCGAGAGAACAAACTGCTGTAGACCGCATCTACAACAGGTGACGCGTCGATCATCCTGCCGCCGAAGTAACGGCCGTTCAATCCCTTGATGGCATTCTCTCCACCCTGCACCTTGTCGAACTTGAGATAAATGTCGCCCTTGGAGTTGGGGTCTACCGAGATGTGAACGACGCGGCCGTACTTGCTCTCGGCCTCCTGGCGCACGTCATCTTCGAGCTCCTTGGCCCAGTCCTCACCCTCTTCCCTGCGATGCTGTCAGTGGGTGCCACACAAGCGGACGACGCAGGCAGGGTTCAACGTACTCTTCGGGATCAAACATGTTGTGCAGCACAACGCAACGACTCGCCATGTTCACGTTGACCGGGAGAGGCTTAGTCTCCGACTTGGGCTTCAGCGTCTGGCGCTCATCTACGGCGTTGCTCGCGTCGTCAGTCCTGGCAAGCTTCCTCATGAGGGCATCACGACTGTAGTTGTTAAAGTTGACACCGGCAACATCCGTGTCGTCGAGGGCACTGGCGCCGCCCGACTTTTCGCTGTCGCGGCCGCCCGCGCGGTCGAACGTCGAGTTCTGGGGTCCACGGCCACCGGCGCCGGAAAAGGCAGAGCCCTGGAAGGGCTGTTCGCGGCCTGAAAATCTCTGCAACAAGTTGGCAGTGCTCTCTGGGGTGAACTTATCGTTTCCGAGACCGACACGGATGGGACGACCGGCAAGGTCGAACCCATTCATCTTCTCGAGGGCCTCCCTAGCCTGGCCTGCATCCCGGTACCTGAACCGTGGGTTAGCACTCATATTCTTGGTGCCAAAGAGGAGCTGTACTCACTGCACAAAGCCATAGCCGCGGCTGCGGCCAGTGTCATCCTTCTGCAGTTGGACAAACTCGAGCTCGCCGAAGGGCTCGAAAACGGCCTGCAAGTCCTGCTCCGTAACGTTGAAGTGAATGTTCCCGACGTAGAGGCGGTGGAAGGGGATCGAGTTCGACTGTGTACCGGCTGCTTCCGTGGTGCGAACCTGACGGTTCTTCTCGGCTTCGGTAAGCTGAACGATGATAGGGATACCTAGCAGCTTCTGTCCGGTGAGCTGGAGCGCCTGCGTGACAGTGTCTTCGGATTTGAATTCAACATAATCAACTCTGTCCACAGTTAGCCAAGTCTCGTCATGGTCATGGGCTTCGGCAA